GACTGCCGGACAAGAGGGCAATTGGTGTTAGACGAGGGCTAAGAGACTGCCGGACAAGAGGGTAATTGGTGTTAGACGAGGGCTGAGAGCTGTCTCTTATACACATCTAGATGTGTATAAGAGACAGGCACTGCAACGGGTAACATTTTCGTCCGATTTTTCGCCGATTTCGCAGATTTTAGGCATTTTTAGCGCGATTTTTGGGTCGGAAAAAAATCGGTTTTCCGATGCCGACCGCCAAAAATGGATTTCAGATTCGTAATCTACACCCCAAAAAACATATAATTAAAAAAAAACACCCTTTTTTTTGGATGTAGTTAATCTGCAAATTGCAATAATACCATACCGCGTCATAGTGGCAAACCAGAGCTTTTTTAGAATCAGTTTATTTTTAATTTCCTCATTTACTCAAGATTTAAACCAATTTCTTATGTATGGTAATGCTGGTATCCATGATACTTTACTGGCCTACTCATAGGACTCAAAATTGAACTTGAGGGAGAGTCTAAAAAACTCTCTGCTTTGCCACTATGCGGTGCCACTATAGGGTAAACGCGGTAACCGCGTTTACCCTATTTCAGAATGGACTCATCATCAGTCATCACCTACACCTACAGGCTAGATGCTAGACCATTTTTGTTGATCTATAACAACTATAAGGTACTATAGTCTATAGCTAGGTATGAACCGTATGATGAAATGAAATTGCAGTCCAATAAATTTTTCCATAGCTTTGAAAAAAGTACTAACAAATATTAGAGATGACACTTCATTTTTCAACACTGGTAATACTAATACATTACTACTACTACTAGTAGTATAAACAGTAGTACAGTACAATTAGCTACAATTAGCCTTATTAGGTTATTTAGGTACTTACCATAAACTTTCTTGCGTTCTATGCAACTGTTTTCAATAATTTGCTTATCTTGAACAAACCACTTCCTTTGATTTCCACAAGCTTCATCTTCTTCTTGGTAGAAAGCAATATCTCTCGTTCTTTTAAGGCCTATTGTGAATGAGTCATGCAATTCAGTCCCCATGCTCAAGTTTAAAGTTTGAGTGATGTAATACAAATATGAAAGTTGATGAAACTTGCTTAGGTTTGTTCCTGAACAAGGTGAGGGTGTAATGATAATACCGCCTAACTTGTGTTCGACATCTACATTGATCCGGGGTTTAGTTCTTTCCAAGTTTCCAATGTGCAGTCAACTGACAGAAAACGTTCTACTTCCAGGTTGCCGACTTCAGCAGCGTTGCCAGATGGTATATATCTATACCAGATTTCACAAATCTGGTATTTTCAGAAGGTGTCTGGTATGAATATTTTAGATCTGGTATATATGCCTAAATCTGGTATTTTTCTGGTATTTTCTGACTTACTACAAATTTACTGCATTAATTTACACCTCTGAAGTTTGAACTTCCTCCAGGGTTGGCGTGGATTATATAGATTCCCTTCAGAGCGGCGCGATTAGAGCTTTCCCGCCATTTTTGGAACCGCGAGTTTACCGCTTGATGAAATAACCCTAATCTAATTGTTAACATTTAACAAAAGTGCTTAATGCAATATGAACACGAGAGTGATGATCCTTGATTGATTACTGATCAGTGATGATATGGCCTAGGACGAGTGAGGTTGTCGAACCGATCTCTGCGACGCAAGCTCCACCATTTTTGTTTGGTGGTTTGAATTATAGAGTGCCACTTGAAATCCACTGACCTACTATAAACAAGAATTCAGTGGTTACCTACTCAGAAGAATTTAAACACAATACAGGCTCTCAGGCCCAACGGCCGTCCTCGAGGTCGACCTGTGGCTTTAAGTCTACCCAGTGTAGACACCCCGAAAAGAAGAAGTATGCGGGCAGCTGGGGCATCTAAACCTTCGGGCTTGTTCTGTCAGAAAGCTAAATGATTAAAGTAAATGGACCACAGCCTCAGTCCACAGGACCAGTTTACACTTACAATGCTCATATGAGAATCAAAAGGTACCAAAACAAGGAAGAAAGAAATTTTGCAAGACGCGGACTGACGCGCAGGACGCTACGAACAATGAATAGAGTTTATTTTTTTGCAACTTTTTGTTTTTTTTTGCTTAACTCTTTTCTTTGCAATTTTAGTCTGTTGTACTGTTATAGTATATAATATACATTTGCTTTACTTAACCGCCCGGGGGCCCTGGGCCCCGGCCTCCTTGTCAATGCCATTTCTGACCAGAAACTGGTGCACAGAGCTGGGATCAAACCCGCACGCCGCACGGGCGCACGGCCACACTTCTATCAGGCTCTGCTTCAAATCTTTAATCTTGGTACTCTGCTGTCTGCTGACGCTGAGAGCTGAGTTCAGAATGTTAAGTACACAATTTTTGCACTGGTTTGCCACAGGCTTGCTGAAATGATAAGCAAATTTTAAAGACCCTTTATGAAAAACTGAATTTAATGTTTTATTAAGTGCATTCATTTTATCATTTTTAAGACTTATGAGTCCTACCTATATGAATAAGTTTCCCAGTATCATAGATACCGTCAACCGGGGTCCGGGGCTACAGGCCCCAGCTACTCAGGAGTTGGGACGGGCGGGGTAACTCGGGACAGTCCTCCGACACGGTGTAAAACTGTTTTAGTAGCAAAACTAATTGGAATATTGCAAAACTAAATATAGTGGCGTCATAGTGACAAACCAGAGATTTTTTAGAATCAGTTCAATTTTAATTTCTTCATTTACTCAAGATTTAAACCAATTTCTTATGTATGATAAGTCTGGTACGGTATCCATGATACTTTACTGGTCTACTTATAGGACTTAAAAATGAACTTGAGGGAGAGTCTAAAAAAGTCTCTGCTTTGCCACTATGAGTGGCGTAAATGTCAACATTTTTCCTATCTATGTAAATAATGTAGTATAAAGTTAGTTCAAAAATACTACATTTACTAGCTTTGAAAAATTTCCTGAATAAAATGGTGAAGAACGATATTTTGAAAAGTTACTTCTGCTATGGTTTGTAGTAAAAAAAAAATAATTGCCATATTAAAAAAATTTTGCTTAGAAAAAAGTGGCAGACAAGTGTCAGCATGAAAACTTTATTTGCATAATTTACATACCTCAATCCCCAAAAAACAAGGCGGCCATTTCCGCATGGTGGGGCTACTTGGGAGTTGGGACTTGGGAGTCACTTGGGACACCCCCCTATGGCTATTCAGTACACCCCCAAAAATGCATTTACAGTAGAACCTCAGTTAGCAAATGCTCCAGTTAAAAAAAATGATTAAAAACAAAGAATATTGACTACATTTACCTTGCTCAGTGAAAAAAATTTCACTTATCGAAAAATTAGTGCATCATCGGTCATCACAAAATTGTGCATAGAATGTCATATATAGAATTGTGCACCAGGCATCAATCATCATAGAATGAAAAGTAATTGACCTAAACTATGATTTATTTCTCCAAAACATATGATGGTTGTCACTAGAACATTCCTTTCTGTTTCAGGTATGTTTTTCATGATCTTTTTTTTATAGTAAATTCACTTAACCCAATTAAATGGTGTGAAATTACAAGCTGTCCTGTAAGCTTACAGATACAGAAAAATGCTAAAAGGTTGCTGATATGAAGCTTGCAGTGGACAAGGTTGTTGTAAATGCTCAATGGCATATTCATGGATATGGTAATATTGCATCAATAATACGGTAATTAATGCATATGGTAATATCATAGCAATAAAGAAAAAACAAGAAAAAATCACAGAAAATGTCATTTATTCTACCTCTACATCATCTACAATGAAAGAGGAGGACTTCAGAGTACTGTTAGTAATGGATGAGTACACTCTGCATGCTTCAAATGTTTTAAAATGAAGTTTTATTCCAAGTGTCCCGAGTAGCCCCATTCGACAGGGCTACTCAGGACCCTTTTTTTGCTTCTGGCACCTTACAAATAGCATATGCAATTTTTTGGAGAAGACATGTGATAGCCCTTTCAAAGAGCTTTGAAATGAGCTTAAACTTGTTTATGAAATGTTTCATGGTAAGAAGTTATGAATGAAAAACTTTTGAAATCGTCCCGAGTAGCCCCGGTGGACGGTACCACTGTGCGGCACTGTCCACGTCCAGTGTCCACTGTACCTACTCGCAGAACTTGGTACTGTACCAGTAGTACCACATACCACCGGAATTAGCTATCATACATAAAATATTGATGTAACGAGTAAATCTTGTGTAGATTAGGATATTACCTAGGAGGCTAGGATTGAGGAAATTTAAAATGAACTGATTCTAAAAAATCTCTGGTTTGTCAGATATTGTTGTTTGTTACCATGATTCAACCTCAACACCATCAATGGAGTCTCTAGACTCTTGATATTTTGAAACTGAGCAAGTTACCTACCTATCAGCTCAAATAACAGACTTGCATGATCTTGAATATAGAAAATAGTCAAAATACCATTACTTGAATAATTGAATTTATACTGGAAAATTTGGCATTTTTTCTGCAATGTTCAAGAATGAAGAATCACTTTTGAAACTATTGTTGCAACCCAGCCTATTGTATTATTATTGTATTATTGTTGTAGCCTAACCTGCAATTTTTAGAAAAAAATTTTAAAGGAAATTTTGTCAGATATCTGATATTCTTAATTGCACTACAATTGAATCCTTCTTGTGGGTGGAATCTTATAAGATTATATCATAAGTGGAAATTGTGGAATTGTCCTGAGAGGCTGAGTCTGAGTGGCATGTGTCATTTTGAATTATTGCAGCTGTGAACTTGAAGCGCCAAGGAATCAAGAATGTAGGTTCCTAGGCTATTTATAAGATAATAAGCCTAAGCCTAAGGGCAAAAGGCATCTGTTTGATATGGTTTTTATAAGTGCAGGCACATCAAAAGGTTGCCAATGACCCAATGTAAAGTATGTAAGGTGACCAGATGCCCAATGCCCATTGTGGGTTATTGGCTTTGGCTAATGGATATACATATTCATATGATAATAATGATATACATATTCATATGCAGAAACTGCATACAATTTAACAGGGCTTAATTTAATATGTCTTGTAGGCAATTATTGTGAAAGTGCAGAGTGTCGATATGAATATATTCATCAAAGACCCCTAACTGGATGCTGGGGCCTTGGAATGCATTTCAATTAAGACTGGGTTGTAAATGGAGAATATTACTAATACCCGGTACATACTTGGGTCAAGATGAATGTGCTACCCATTCATCTAAATTCAATTGATTGAATTTAATGATAATGATAAAATAGAGACCTCCCTGATTGAAATGGCAAAAAAAATTATCTTTATGGGTGTAAACTGTGGAGTGTTTTATATATTCTTTCTTTAGATATTAAAAAAAAAAGAAAAGTTTACTTTTTTTGTAATGGCTCAATTAAAGATTTTCCAATTATTTTACAATTATTTAAGAATGATTATCCCAAAACTTGATGAATCCTAACTCAAGTAATAAACTATCATCTGGAAGACTGGAATGCATAGCTAGCAAGGAGTGACTGATCAAAGTTTATTAAAATCAAATTTATTAAAAAAAAGAGTGATATCAATATATTAAAGAAAGAGAGAAAACCCACTATGTCAATTACGTATATTCTGTGAACCTTTGTAGGATATTTTGCTTTGAGACAATTACCACTTCAATTTATGTCATTTTAAATATTGTAGTGAAATGATAGGTATGGTATTTAGTACGTACTAGACAATGAGTGCAAATGAGATGGAGTTAGTAGCATTTGAGGAAACTAGTAACATGGCTGGTTCTGCAGCATCAGATTCTGATGACAGCATGTCTAGTTCAGATGTTGAAGAGGAAGATGAAAAAATCCTTGAAAAAATCAAGAATCTCCGTCAGCAAGTGAGTATCATGGAGAAATTATTATGCATAATTTAATAGTTGTGTAGGGTAATAGTAGGTATAGGTATAATATTTCTGCTACAGATAAATTGTTTTGGCCAATACTGTTGCAATGGTGTCACCACCAGTTGATATTGGGTCCGGAGTGCAATGTTTTTTAGGTGGCAAGATGCAATGCCTTTATTGTAGATCTGAAATTCTCTGCCAACAAGCCTATTGTCATATTCAGCACAAGACCTTATATCTGGTAAGGAAACTTTAATTTTGTTTTTGCAGCTTGTGTCTTGGCCACGCTTTTATGATGGCCATATTGAGCTCATAAACTCCTTAAGAAAGTCGGGGGAGCTGCTGGAGGCTCGGCAGGCAAGGGAGGCCATGAACAAATATTTTCCGTTGACACCAGGTGAAGGAAATGAGATACGTAATAACTTGCATATTATGAGAATATCATAGCAAGTAACATGGCTTCTTGTTACCTGAGAATAAATTTGCATGTTTTTACTTTGAATAAATATGCATGTGGTTTTTAGTTCATGATGTTGATTTGAGCTTTACTTGCAATGGGAAATAAAGTTGAATCACTAAAATGTTAATAATATGTATTCATTTTTCTGAAAAATATTCCTAGGAATTAATTTATTCATGAATAACGAGTTCTTTTTATTCTCTCACTCAATTTGGAATAAAATTATAGAAATACTTTTACATATTACAACAATCTCTTAAAGGCTGCCCTTGTTTGTCAGCTGATGACCTAATCATGGTTTTTACAGAACTATGGCTTGATTACATTCATGATGAAAAAGCCGTCTGCACCACTGCTGACGAGAGGAACTTTGTGATATCACTTCTGGACAGAGCAACTAAAGAGTATGCTAGTAAGTTACTGCTTCCACAGTGGTCAAGTGTTAACCACTACAGAGTATATATGCTAGTAAGTTACCATGGTTACCCAATTGGGGATCTGACATAGAAATCAAAGTCGACATTGCTTTCAAAATATGAACAACAATTGCATGTTTCAAATTAAATTAACCAGTTTCACAGTGTCTTATAATTTTCTCAGTGAGAATAAATTTTCAGTTCCAGATAATATTCACTCACAATCAGTCTCCTTGATATGATATCTGCTTATGTCAAGCAACCCCTCTATAGTTATTGCGGCAGGCTTTAAACGCAGTATTCCACTACACATATATATTAGAGATATTTATGTAAGTTATATCACTGAATCAAAAAATTTTGTTTGTGCTGTAAAATTCTGAAAATGATATCCTGGCTTCTGTCATGTCTTGTTGCGATTTCACCATACAAACATGGTGGAAACCTGCCTGGAATTGGCTCATGACAACACAGCTCTACTTAACCTGATTTAGCCATCTTACTGTGCTTCTGTTGCGTGCCATGCTACTGTTCTGTGCCATGCTGTTCTTACAGTGCTACTGTGGTGTGCCAGGTGTGCAGGTGTGGACAGAGTACGTGCTGTTCAGCATTGGTGGTGGGGACATAGACGCCACGCGGGACGTGTACGAGAGAGCGCTGGCGGCGGTCGGGACGCACGTCAGGGACGGCGAGCTGCTGTGGCAGAGCATCACTTGTATTGAGGAACAGGTGCCCTTCTTTTCTCTTGTGTTTTCCTGCTGTTTAAACTTTTATTGGCTTTTTTGTATATCATATTTTCTGTCTTTCCTTACTTTCTTTAATATTTTATTTTAAAAGATGCTTTGATGTTTTATTCTCATAAAAATGTAGCCATACCAATACCTGTCACTGATATTGCAGGTCTGTTATTGCAGCCTTTTATTCGCAGGTGTATGCCGGCTTGACAGCAGATGCCCAGGAGGGAGATGCCCCGACGCCCCAGCAGACGCGACAAGCCCAACGTCTGCGTGAGCTCTACCGCCGCAGGTACGGCATCATGTTAGGGCAGATATGTGTTGTGTACAAGTGCTGTAATGACCTTTGTATATTGCTCACACAACACACAATAGCTCCTGTATATTGCGGTGCCAAACGGACAACACACAATAGCCCCTGTATATTGCGGTGCCAGACGTACACACAACACACAATAGCCCCTGTATATTGCGGTGCCAGGCGTACAACACACAATAGCCCCTGTATATTGCGGTGCCAGACGTACAACACACAATAGCCCCAGGGCCTATACTTTCAAAAAAAGTTAAGAGATCGTAAGTTCATCAGCCAATCACTGACTGGCTTTCAAGCAAAATCCACCAATCATAGACAAGAAAATAGAGCGTAAGTACTTACTTTCAGTTAGCGAGTTTTTAAAGTATGGACCATGTATATTGCGGCAGGTTTCGCGTGCCGCTACTGAACATGGACCGGGAGGCGCTGCTGGAGGGCGCCGGGCGCTGGGGCGGCGCCCCTGACCCCCACATGGAGGCACAACTGCAGAGGACCCTGGACAAGCTCAGCATCCTGGAACCTTTTGAGGAAGAACTCGTGAGACGCCTTAGCCTTAATGAGGGGCACCGCACTCATTGTCTTCTTGCCCTGTCTTCTTGTATAACTTATATATCAAGGATATATAAATCACTATATTAATATATGTAGTAGTAATTAAATTTATTTATTTTATATATATATTTTTCAGTAATTTATTCATTTCTTTGGATGATGATGAGCTACAGAAAAATGTATCAAGTGAAAGATTGTTTGGCTGCAGGCGCTTCATGTTGGTGTATGGCTGGTTTTATGTTGGTTTAGAATAGAGGTGTTGTGATGTCATGGATGTGTTATATCTGCTCAACTTAAGTTGTGGCATGTGCTTGTGTTGTGGCCTGTGCTCTGTGTTGTGGCATGTGCCCTGTGTTGTGGCATGTGGCATGTGCGCTGTATTGTGGCATGTGCGCTGTGTTGTGGCATGTGCCCTGTGTTGTGGCATGTGCCCTGTGTTGCGACATGTGCCCTGTGTTGTGGCATGTGCCCTGTGTTGTGGCATGTGCCCTGTGTTGTAGCATGTGGCCTGTGTTGTGGCATGTGCCCTGTGTTGTGGCATGTGGCCTGTATTGTGGCATGTGCCCTGTGTTGTGGCATGTGTGCTGTATTGTGGCATATGCGTTGTGTTGTGGCATGTGCGCTGTGTTGTGGCTTGTGCCCTGTGTTGTGGCATGTGCCCTGATTTGTGGCATGTGGCCTGTGTTGTGGCATGTGGCCTGTGTTGTGGCATGTGCCCTGTGTTGTGTGATGTGCCCTGTGTTGGGGCATGTGCCCTGTGTTGGGGCATGTGCCCTGTGTTGTGGCATGTGCCCTGTGTTGTGGTATGTGCCCTGTGTTGTGGTATGTGCCCTGTGTTGTGGTATGTGCCCTGTGTTGTGGTATGTGCCCTGTGTTGTGGCATGTGCCCTGTGTTGTGGCATGTGTTCCGTGTTGTGGCATGTGCCCTGTGTTGTGGCATGTGCCCTGTGTTGTGGCATGTGCTCTATGTTGTGGCGTATGTTGTTTGTTGTAATGCCACATTTATGCCGCAGCTACGCACAGAAGAGGACGCCGTGGCCAACATGGCGGCGTATGAGGCGTACATGGCGCACGCCAAGGCTAAGGAGGATCCTGCCTTCGTCCAGAACCTGTACGAGCGCGCCGTACTGCGCCACCCGCTCAACGACGGTGACTTGCCACACATGCCACCACACGCGCCACATGCCACCACACGCGCCACACATGCCACCACACGCGTCACGCATGCCACCACGCTCGCCACACATGCCACCACACGCGCCACGCATGCCACTGCCCGCTCCACATGCCAACTGACACGCCACACATGCCACCACACGCGCCACGCATGCCACCGCCCGCTCCACACACGTCCCGCGCCACACTTGCCTAAACAAGCTGTGTACCCATAATTGCCATACCATAATCTGCTTCATGTTCTAGTAAACAATTATCTTCTTGAAGTGCGGCCAAGAGTGTGGCTCTTTTATGCGTGATTGTCTTGACTGAAGTGTCACTTGCACTGCAGGGCTGTGGCTGCAGTACGTCCAGTGGTGCAGTGCAGTGTTCAGGGATCAGACAGAGCTCATACTGCCAGTGTCAGAGCGCAGTGTCCGCAACTGCCCCTGGTCAGGCGCCCTCTGCAGCCTACACGTCGAGCTGCTGCAACTGCAGCACCCCATCCTTACCCTCCAGCCTAAAATTAAAGGCACGTGACACCCTTTCCGCCCTCCCCCTGCCAGCCTTAAGACAAAGGCTTGATTCCATTTATACTCTAAGCCTTAGAGGATAAATGGAACCAACCACATCCCTTAGAGTCTAAGGGATGTGGTTGAGTTCGTGGCAATTATATTCAGCTCATTCCTTTAGGTAATTGAAATCGACAAGAATGATTCTTGTCTCCATCCCTGAACGTATTTCCACAGCTGTTTTGAATCAATGTCTGAATAATAGTAAGCGTTTACACAGATGTGGTGGAATGGTGCCTGGGGGCGCTGGTCGGGGTGGAGGCGGACGCCCTGGTGCTGCACGCGAGTCAGATGTGGCTGAGCTACGTCTTATTCCTGGCCCAGCTCCTCCGTCAGCAGCTGCAGCGTCAGACACAAGCGTCTGGCAGGACGACCTGTCCTCCTGACGGCAACATCTGTCAGTCCAACGGCCAGAATATCGACCACGAAAAACTTAGCGACACTGAACAGGATACTCTGCACGGTCAGGATAACGGCCCTGAAGCTGGGGCTGCTCTTAACAGCGCTGCGGGTGACGAGGCTATAGGGACTCCTGAAGAGAGTGTCGACCGCCACATGCAGCGCCTGAGGGAGGCCTGCCGCCGCGCCCTGCAGATGTTGCGTGAGAGTGAGTGTTTTAATGAGCCCTAGCAGCGTGCTGTGTTAGTGTAATGTCTGCAGCTTTGTAATTAATTTGCCGCATGCGCATTATGCAGCTCACTTTCTTCCCCCAGATGCCAGCCCTGGGGTGGACCGGGGGGACGTGGCACTGTGCCGCGTGTGGGCGGCGTGCGAGGTCCTCGTCGGGGACCTAGACGCGGCGCGCGCCGTTTGGAACGATCTAATGGCGCAGGCGCCTTACACTGGGCGCTGCGACCTCTGGCTGCAGTTCGTCGAGATGGAGAGGCAAGTGGATGCGGTAGCTGGAGGGATGGAGGCTCTGGAGACGTGGCAGGGAACTCAAACACAATTATTTTCCTACTTGTATTTGTGTTATTACCTAGCAAGTTGGCTCAATGATCTTGATCATTTCTGTCTCGCCGCCTGCCGGCGCAGGCGTCACGGTAGCAGCAAGCACGCGCGCAAGCTGCTACGCCGCGCCTTGGAGCGCGTGTGGGACGGCGTCGAGGTCGTGGGGGCAGCCTTCGAAGCCTTCGAGCATACCGAGGGAGATGTGCTCACCTTACGCGACTTCCGACGTCGCTACGATGCCAGGTAAACACTAACAGATATAAGGTTAAAGCCTCAATTTTAACCTTGATTGTCGTGATCATTTGTCATGGTAATAAATTGGGTTGTCTTTTTAAATACGCACTTGACGTATGAATAACGAGCCATAAAAATGAAAGAAGGAATCTGTTGTGTTACTCCAAAGGAATCTGCTGTATACCATGAGAAACTGTAAGGCGAGTAATGAGAGCCACGAGTGAGGCAGCCAACCAGGAGGGCGCAAGCCATAGGTCAGCACAAGCCATGGTTGAACTAATAAAAAGTTGACCCTCTCACATCTCAGCCTTGAGAATATCATGTATTGTTCCGCCTGTGACGTCACGTGTAAATTAGTATGTAAATATTGCTCGTGAACTCCATTCGAAAAGTGTCCTCCTTGAACTACCTTTATAAATAACTAGCCTCCTTGAATCATCGGACAAGTGTTCAAAAATTTTAACTAGTCTTGTTTAACACATTGCCGATGTCAAAATGCAACTATTTCGTGCGGTTAATGAAATAAATGGAAAATAAAGCGACCAACCGAGTAGACTGACTTATAATGTTTTTTTATGGCGGTCATTAGTGTAAGCGTTAAATAAACGGCTAAATATATAAGTGAAGTTGCCCTCCAGCATATCACGTTTTCGTCAAGATAGATAGTATTTCTGTGATTTTGTTGTTTTTATTTTCCACTTTGATACTAGTTTACTTTCCTGTTTATAAACAATATTAAATTAAAGAGCTAATCATATCGATTTGAAATTTAGAAGAGATGCATCAAAAGGGTAAAGACAATGAATAATATCAATCCGAAATTCAAATAACCACATACCCGACGAGAACAGAATTTGTTTGGGGACGCTTTCCTTTTATCAAATCATCAGACGGATGATCAGAGAAGTGGCAGCCATTAGCGAAACACGAAGCTGATCGGTCAGCCCTCGAAGGTTTTATTTTCAATTTATTTGTCTTTCCGTACGACAGAATTGGTTTCTGACGCTGTATGGTTTAGAACAAGACTTGTTGCTATTATGGACAATTATGAAAAAATATTGCGATCAGTTTAAAAAAAAAATTCAAAATATACACTTTTAACACGCGTTTGACGACACTCACGACATCTGTTTACGATTTCCGATGCATGGGACGTCATAGTGAAGATGCGCAGAACGGCGTCAAAATTTCTCAAAGCGCGAGTCAACCTCAAATTGGTCAACCATGAGCACAACTAAACCTCAATCTCATTTTCGGGAACAAGCTTGCTAGAGGCTTCAGGCGACTGAATGAAGTTCAGTGCTTGAAGCCATAGGATTTGTACGTTCACAGCCACTGCTTAGCTTGCCCCTCATCTCGGAATAAGAGGCCTGCAGGATTCTCTTCGTAGGATACCTACAACCACAGCGCGGTCCTACCTCCGCACCTACCTCGCATCTCCACATTCTTACTTCCAATGAGGTTAGGCTAGGTCCGTTCAAGCTTGGTTTGGGTGGAGAGTCGGAGAAGGTGTGTAGGTAGGGCGGCGCTGCAGTTATATCCTACGAAGAGAGTCTTGCTGGTCTCGTATCCTGAGATGCGTCTCGAGGTTAACCCCACAGCTGTCGCGTGCAAAAACTGACCTGATTGGTCGCCTATTTTGTCGGTTTCGTTACAGTCGAAAATTCGTAAGCATGGATTACGTGGTATGTAATCCACGTGACCATTGTGGGGTTAAGCGATTGCTGTCAACTTGCAGCGCTAGCGTCACAGGTCCGACTCACGGTGTGGCAACGCGTTCTATGGTTTTTATTTATGAATCTAAGTGTATTTATTGCATTCTGAGTCTGGGCGCTGGCTCTTGAGCTAATTTAAGAGCTAATATAGCGGCTAACACTGGAACTAAAATAAAATGTGACTAATATACACGTTCTACCGCAGAATGGCTGTCGTGAACAAGCGGCGGGAGGAGCAGCAGGCGAAGGAGTCGGCCGCCACTGTGGCGACCAAAGCTGGCAAGAAGAACAAACAACGCAACAAACACCAGGCCCCGCGCTGCCAGGTGAGAAATAAAACAGTTCTCCATGCCCATAAAACTTTTTTTGCTGAGGCACTACCCAATCAAGTGAGAAGTCCTTGCGCGTGATTGTAGGATGCTTGAAAGACACAGCGTGACAACACGAAATAGCGTGGCCAAGTATCCTTTGTATGTGATTTGGACGTAGCAGTGATAGGCCACACTGTAGCGCCGCCTCTGTGTTCCGCCGTCCTCAGCCTCGGTAGGCAAGTCCTCTCTGTAGCCAAGGTTCCAGAGCCAAGTCTAAAGCTGCCCCGCACCTGCTCTCAGTCGGGCCTACGAATGCCCACATTTGTGCCTGCTGATTCCCTCTTTTGTGCCAGCTGTTGCCCTCTTTTGTGCCAGCTGATGCCCTCATTTTCGCCCGCTGATGCTTTTATGATACCTGATGCCTTCGTTTGTGCCAGCTGCTGCCCTCTTTTGTGCCAGCTGATGCCTTCTTTTGTGCCTGTCTCT